ATGCGTCTTACAGTAATAATTTAGATAAATTAAACTTTAACTGTAGCCGCAAATGCACATTAGCGTTCTGATTGCTTGTTAACGACTCTTTCAGTGTTCTGCAATCTCGTTTTCGCTTCCTTTGTTAGAAGACAAAAACTGCATTTTAAGGACAACCATTTAATGCACTCGCCCGTTCCCAGCACTTCCTTTGATGAAAACACAAACGGAGTACTGAGTTAGAGTTTCGTGAGTTTACATGAAAAACTGTTCTTCTGCCACAGCTCTGCGGAATTTAATTTTCTTCTGCACAAAGTTGAGGAGTTTAGAGCACGCGGTAAAGAAGAGAAATTTCTGCCAGATCAATCTCGTTAAATTCTTTTACCTTACATATAATAAAAATAAGTTAATTCGTCCCGTAATGCTCGCGGGGCTTAACCTACTTCTAAAGGAAAACCGTTGAACATATTTCAGACCGCGACCGCAACTTTTTTTACCATAGTTTTTACTTACTAATGTGATTAGCATTTTTTGTCTGATGCGGTATCAGAAAAAAATTGTAGCATTTCAGTTGTACTGAAGATACTTGACATCCCATTCCAAATATTTTCTTCTTTTAGCATAGAGGGCTGTTTCCCACAATCTTTGCAACCTGGATGTATGGCGCATTGAAGATAAATGATATAAATTTGTTATCCGACTTGGTAGAAGGCGGGGCTTTCGAATTTCTTTAAATTTCCTCAGCGATAATATGGCCATCTCTCTTAAGTCAATAATATTACAAAAGTAAATTAAATATTGCGCCTTTTTTCAGTTGTGAAGGAACCGAACCATCTCTTCGCGGAGTCCTCTCAAGAAGTGACCGAATTCAACAATCCTTCACGGAGACATGCTGATATACCGCTTCGCACCCGACAACACAATTTTTCCATCCAAATATCAACAATCACGGATTCATTCTCATCTGATGTTGAGCGAATCGGCTCACTGGACGGCAGAGTTTTACCGGCGTCGAAGAACGCCCAAAAGTCCATTAAATGGACTACTTATAACAAGATCAGAAACGTCTCAACTATGCGAAAGCTTAAGTTTGCAATGAGACGTTTGGCAAGGCGACACAACGTCTTAAAATCATCACATAGTACTGGAATGCCTTCATCAGCTTCTACTTTGAAAGATGGCAAAGACATGGAAGCATTTACGTTTCAGAAAACCCCGCCATCATCTATCACGGGTTTACCATACAAGACGAAAATCAAAGCGCCTTTCAAGTTGACGATTTTGCCAACTGAAGAAACGGTTATTCCATCAGTCGATATGGCTGATGCAGAATCAGATTGGATTTCAAAAGAAGACAATTCTACCAAACAATATGACAAGAAATCTGCATACAGTAATGATAAGGACGACAATTCTTCACCTCATAGCAAACCAAGGGTAACTGGACACGAAGGGTCCACACGACATGCCGGCACATCAGCGATGCCACGGCACAAGATGGTTGTTCATCCTGGAGTGAAGGCTTCTTCAGGGCTACGTTGGAAAGCGGCTTACGATCCCGTCAAGTTGGACGACAGTAAGAAAGGAAAGCGTTTCAAGAACAAAAAGAAAAAATCTCATCCCAAGGATGAACAGCCAGTAGACTCGAGTTCACAGCCAGCCACTGTTGCAGGAATCTTGGCTGGGATTTTGATATTATTGTTTATCTTCACTGGTGTCCCTCGTCTGTGGTAAGTTCTCGATCTTGTTATTTTATATTTATTTATTTTTAATACACCGTAAATTCTCAGCAGTAAACTTAAGCATATATATTAAAGTTAGTTAGCAGAATCGCCTGTCTGATCCAAACAGATTGTTTCAATGTGTTCTCAACGCATTTTTTTGGAACAATTTGACGTTATCTGTGATCCATTAGAGAGTTTAAGCATGACATTTACTGCAGACGGCAAACGGCAAAAATTATCTCTGATTTTTTTTTTCTTGTAATCCTCAAACAAATCACACAAAAATAAAAAAATGTCTTCTACTATTCACTGCAAATACAAATATTTTCACTCTACTGCACAGACAGCTGAAGACAGACGGCAAAAGTTTCATTTTTGCCGTTTGCCGTTTGACGTAACGTTATTCTTAATCTCTCTAATAATGAACAGACTCACGACGACTACATCTATTTGCTAATATTATTTTAGAGAGAATCTTTTTGCTTGACAATATTGCGTGTTTGGTCCAAAAATAATTCAAGGCGAGGATGCTGTCTATAAGCCCGGAAAAAGGTAAATTTCTTTACCTCTACACATTTACCTCTACACAGGAGAACTTTTACCAAACGGTGGCGACGACGTAGTTATCGTGAATTGGGATCAAATTTTCCTTCAACTGGTTACTCCAGCGAAGAGCTGAGTGAGGAGGAAATCATTTTTGACAAATCAGTTATGGAACGTAACAAGGAATCATCAAAGAGTGCCAGTCCAAGAACAACACCAGAGACATCTTCAGGAAGATCACGATCAGCCACGTCAACTTATCAATCACCTGACCATGCGATACAAGAAAAGAAAATATGGACACTGACGCAGACGCCAAAATCAACTCCGTTGATGGCTGTACCTACACTCAATGACTCGCCTAGAACAGAGATTTGGACGAGTAAGGAGATTTCCGAAACAAAATCCCCGGATTCGTCGTTCACCGCAACGTCGCTGTCTGAATCTTCAAATGTAAAACCGACTGAAACACCTCCCTCTGTATCTTTGACATCGGTGTCTTTAACATTAAATGCATCAGAGACGGAAGTTCGTGATTCTGATTTGGCGGCCGTAACCCGTTTGTCAGGGTCAACTTATGACCTGACAGACATAGACAGCTCTCCTACATTTGCGGCTCAATCAAGGCCTGGTCCATCTGCGTCATCCAAACAGACAACCCTTGTGTCCTCACTCTCGCCACTCCCATCTCAGCCCAGCTTGTCTTTACTGCCTACTGCTTCTAATGAATCGACACCTAGCATTACCATGGCAGTTGATGGCACCAGTCCCTCAGCAGAGTCCTGTAAGACACCTGTTGCTGCACGTAATGAAGTCGTGATAGCTATGGACGAGGATGAAAAGAATATTATCTACCAAAGTGACAAGTCAGGAGGCGAAGTGTTGAGTGTGGTCAAAGATGCTGGCAAAGGATCAAAAAAAGCCGAAATGGTGATAACAATGAGGCTTCATGACGAGGAGGAATCGTCGACGCAATCTGAGTCTAAGTCTGAGTCTTCTGTAGGAGAAACGGTTAACACGAGTCTGGAATCAGAAATGAAGAATGTGAAAACAAGTGATGCTATCATCGATATTATGGGAAGTGATAACGAGAATGAGGAAACGTCTACCATCAATGAGACGTCCAACCAAGGTAAGTTATTAGTAAGGTCAACACGTTATATAATTGATTACTCTTCACCTGTCAAATTTATGTTTGAAATACATACAATTTTGCTGCGTCGATCGCAAAACATATACAGGAGTAAGGGAGAGGATGTTAGAATCCCAGCCGTTTCTCTTCCCCCTCCCTCTTAGGTTATGCAATTAGAGAAAGTATTGATAATGATGAAAAAACTTGTGAAACGGTCTTGCAATCTCAAAAGGATGGGAGTTTTGAAAAATTGCACGAGCTTAAAGGACATAGCTTTACTCATTAGGTCGCGCACATCCAAGAGATGCCGTGAAGACTAAGGTTAAGCGTGAGGTACGACGGGAAGACGAATCAACAAACCCTGTGGATACAGGCGCTTCAACTAGCAACAATGCAAAGATAAGGGTATTGAACCACAAGGATTACAAAACATGGAAGGTAAGAATTGGAATTATCTGTACCCTTTCAGTAGCATAACGGGCTTTCATGAACCATTTCTCGTATAGTATTTCCGGAAGACGTAGTCAAGTGGTGTTCATCGGTTTTTCATTGTAGGCGATCAAAAAACCAATGTAACAGGGGAGCATGAGTATAAAACGTACCTTTATCAGCGACAACAACTGAAAGGATTTTTTAAAATTTTTTTTTAAAACAGGAACTTCAGAAGGATATTAAGATGAAGAAGGAGCAAGGAAACGAGCCACGTGACGTGTTACCAGGCTTGCAGGTCGTTCGAGATATTTATAACTTGCCCCGCATTCCTGTTGATTCAGAAGGTGGATGTCTCTGCTATTACTGTGAAAAGCACATCAAGAGAGCTCAACGGGGAAAGTTTTTCAAAATGCCCAGGTACGTTTTTATTTTCTTATTTTATCATAATTTTTTATTTCAAATTTCTGTATAGCAATTAAATTCGGTTGGCATAAAATCTAAATGTAAATTCAAACATAAAGTTGAAGCCTCAAACAAACGTCGTCAGTCTGCGACTCCTAGCAATACCAACCGTTCAGAATTAAAAGAAAAAACTTACTTATAATATTATTACGGTAACTGGAAATGAACAACTTTAATCTATAATGTTTGTAAAAAAAAAATAGAGCTCTAAACTCACGTTGCTCGAAAAGTCGAGTTTTAAAATCTCCTTGAAAGGCTACTCTCTGAGATTATGGCTGTATGTTTGTTCTGTTTCCTCACCAGTAAGTTGTTCTCCTTCAAATCGAAATCTTCGGCCAGGGAAGCCCCATCAGACTCAAAGAGTTCTTCCACAAGCTCTGCTGCAAAGATAAGGGTGTTGAATCACAAGGACTACAAAACATGGAAGGTACAAGTTGCAAATACTTATTCCTGAACACGCCCTTTAGGCACCTTTTGGTGACAAATATAAAATCAGGAGGACTTTGATCAAACCATAATTTAACGGTTCGTTTTAAAGAGTATACCCATAGCGAGGTCAACGGAAGCTTAAAAACTCCCTTAAGCGCGCTAGAAAGGTACGATTCAAGGGGTGCGGAAAAACCTCTATGCGAGTATCCGGGACAAAAAGAAATCTGATTCAGATATTAGCAAACTTTGGCATGACCACTAGTTAAGCAAAAAGCTTATTTCTGACAGCCAACAACTACAGACTTAAAATGAATACAAAACTTAAATACATTAGGTAATAACCGCCTTATCAAAATTCAACCAAATGTCTGGTCTTATCAGGTCAGCGGCTTGATATCGCAGGAAATCATGATCAGGACAGTGCAATCTTAAGTAAATCATCTTGCTTTAACATTTTTAAACTTTCTACCCATGAAAATGACTTAAACGCATTTTAAAGTGAAAATTAGTGAC